CCCAAACATGTCTGTCTCAAAGTGTCCTCCAAGGCCTCTTTTCTGGCGATGGTCTGGTCCCCTTAACTGTTAATGGAGGGAAGAAAAAGCAAAACAGCACAAGAGTGAAACCCTGTGGACCTGAAAATAGCTAGAAGGTAGACCACCCGATTTGATGATGTTTTATCTCTGTTAAAATTTGCTCTTTTACTTGGAAGCTTCACTGAAGGGGACACTCTGCTCTGCCAGGGTCTCTCTAGATCAGGAATTCTGAATGGAACTCCCAGTTGATTTCCGCAGGATCAGACACCTGATTTGATGATGTCTTGATATTTATCTTTGTTATTTATTCTTTTACTTTGGCTTTCTATATACTTGTTAATAAACAAGTATAGGGCTGGCAAGATGGCTCAGTAGGTAAAGGTACTCATAGCCAAGTCTGATTACCTGAGTTCAATCCCCAGGATGAATGGGTGGAAGGAAAGCAACAACTCCTGCAACTGTCCTCTGACCTCCATATGCACATACCCTTCCCCCATAAAAAAGTAAAATGTTATTAGCCGGGTGTGGTGGTGCATGCCTTTAATCCCAGCACTTGGGAGGAAGAGGCAGGCAGATCTCTGTGAGTTTGAGGCCAGCCTGGTCTACATAGCGAGTTCCAGGTCATCTGGGGCTACAGGGAGACCCTGTCTCAAAACAAAAAGACCAAAAAAAAAAAAAGAAAAAAGTAAAATATTATTAAGAAAATGAAAGTATGGCTATTGTAGATCATTCTCTGGACTACACAGATCATATGTGGCATAGTCAGCAGGACCTACAAGATGCCATTTCTGTTGTGAGGGACTGACTTGTAGAATGGGGGTGGTGCTGGAGAGATGGCTCAGTAGTTAAAAGTACTGGCTGCTCTTGCAAAGGACCTGGGTTTCCAACACCCACATAGTGGCTAACAACCATCCATAATTCCAGTTCCATGAGATCCAACTCCCTCTTCTGACCTCCATGGGTGTTGCACGCACATGGTGCGCACACACACACACACACACACACACACACACACACACACGCAAAATACTCATACACATATAGTAAAAATGTAAAAATCTTTAAAAAAAACAAAAGTGAAAGGGATATATGAGATGATGTACGACCACTGATGAAGGGAATAACAATGGACCCCCCAGAAACCTGGCTTCCCATGCACTGACTGCTAGAACAAGGGAATATATATCTTCTGCATTTAAAACTGCAATTAAAATGTAAAGATCTGGCTGGGCATGGTGGCACACGCCTTTAATCCCAGCACTCAGGAGGCAGAGGCAGGCGGATCTCTTTTGAGTTCAAGGCCAGCCTGGTCTACATAGTGAGTTCCAGGACAGCTGGGGCTACAGGGACCTGTCTCAAAAAGACCTGTCTCAAAAAGACCAAAAAAAATAAATAAATAAAAATAAAGACCTATGACTTTCCCTTTTGTCTTTCTTGTTTACAAAGAGTGTTCATGACTCAAAGTCATTGATATCTCTCCATGGTTCATGCTGGGATATAAAACTTTCTATAAGTCTCAAACTCTGTGAAACCAGAAACCAGAGGGGATGGGGGTCGGGGGGGGGGAACGGGACACAGGGGTATAAAAAAATCCAAGTGGTGAAGAGGTTTGCCAAAGAACTGTGGGAGGATAAAAAAAGTTTGAGTTTAACAGTATGTGTACAAGTAGTCTTAATTTGCTAAATTGTGTCTTGTATGTAATTAGGATTCAGCTCTTGTTTAGAGAAATGAAATAAGAAAGAAATAAGTAGGTAAGAGAGAGAAGATGTAAACATGAAGTCATTATTTCTTTAGCAAGAAAAGTTAAAAAGAAATGAGAAATGAGAATATGTTAGATAAAAGGGTTTTATATAGTGAAAGATAAAATTATCCACTAGCTCCTTAGCTAGAAGGTGGGACTTTGTGCCTACCTCTTCCTTCCATGCTGGGATTTTGTCTGGATTGAGCTTGAGCAGGTGTTGTGCATACTGTCAGACAGTTACTGTGAGTTCATGTGAGCAACTGTCCTGTTGTTTGGAAAACACTGTTCCCTTGTGCTCATCCACCACCTCTGGCTCTTACAATCTTTCTGCTCCCTCTTCCATTAAGATCCTTGAGCCTTGGGGTGAGTGTAATAATGATGTCCTTCCTGCTGTGTTTTTACTTAAGAAAATAGCATGGCCCAGCACAGTGGCTCAGCGGTTAAGAGAACTGACTGCTTTTGCAGAGGCCTGGGTTTGATTCCCAGCACCCACATGGCGGCTACAAACTGTCCTTATTCCAGTTCCAAGGGAATCTGACACCCTCTTCTGACCTCTGTGGCATTGCACAACATGGGTGCACTCACATACATGTAGGCAATACACTCACACACATTAAAAATAATAAGAATAAAAAAAATGACTAGATTTTTCCTAAATGGAAAAGAAAACAACAAAAACAGGAATCTTAAGACATAAAAGGCCTGAGTAAGTTGTACAAGGCCGGAAGAGGATAAGACTTAAAGATGGTATGTGTGATGACTAAAGGTTATTAAAATCCCTAACCACTTACTAGCCTGTGACTCAGAAAACATCAACAGTATCACTAAGTCTCAGTCTCCTCAAGTAAAAAAATGAGGAAGAGGAGCTAGGACATCTGAGGGACTTTCTCTGACTCTATAATCACAGCACACTTTGTAGAAATTCCCACGTCTTTATCTGCTACTACAGATATTCAGGGCTGCCTTTCAACTCCACATATTATCAGCTGGAAAGCAAATCTTACATTAACTCACTCCTAGCTTCCTACACCCCTCCCTGTGGCTGGCATCTGGGTCATGCATTCCTGGCACACAAAGGGCAAAGATCTGAGGGCTGAACAAATAATGTGACACAATCACTCCCAAACAATGCGGATTGTTTGAACTTTGTTCTCCACTAACAAGAGTCACTCTATTCTGACTTTTCAGTTTCTGACTTAACAGACCTGGCCCTGCAGTTTCCCTTGTCAACATCTTTAACACAACCAGGATGTGGGGGTGATGTGGCTTCTACTTCATTACCCCACTGATGGCCAGGGTTGATTCAGCTGATCTGGATGGTTAGACATATGTCCCTTTCCTTCCTCACCACTCCTCAACTCTCCTGAAGCCAATGGATTAAACAGATAGTTGAAAAGAATGACCTTGTCTCATAGTGGAGGACAGGTTTTCGGTCAAGCTCAAAGCTACTTAGACCTTGACCAATTTTACAAAAATAATATATAAATAATACTGAACATCATGGGAGGGGTATAATGAATATTTTAAGTTAAGGTCATCATCTGGAGATTCCATCAAAGCCTGATGACTAAGAACGGATCGAACACACACCTAAGCAGTAGTCCTGAACAAAGAGAAGCAAACATGGTGCTGAGGCCTATATCAGGGAAAACTGCACTAGAAGAATGGCTGAGGAGGCACAGCAGCCTGGCTTACTCACCCATGTCCCAACATAGTGCCTTGTCCATTCTATTAAAAGCCTGAGAGGACAGCAAGGCCAGCTGTGCAAAGTTTGGCTACATATGCTGAACAAATCCCCAATCCCACACCTACTTACTATAAAAAGCATGATTTTATCCTGCACCTGACATACAAGGAACTCTAAGTCACCTATTATGCATTCCTAAAATATAGACAAGTGTTAACTGTATTAGTAACTGGATAGTGGTCATCTGACAAAACGTTTCTATTAGAAAGAAATAACAAACCAGGCTGGTGAGATGGCTCAGCAGGTAAAGACGCTTGCTACCAAACTGATGACATGAGTTTGATTCCAAGGACCCACATGTCTAATAAGCTCTCAGAAATCATTCCAGAAGTAAGTATGTTTATATACACAGTGTGTGAGGAGAGAGGAGGAGGATAAGGAGGAGGGAGAAGAGAATAAACAATAAAACAGGTAGAATGAAACGTAAATTATGAAAATGTAGGTTAAATGTGGTATATGGGAACTCTTTGCATTGTTCTTAAAACTTTTTTCTTAGTTTAAAATGACATAAAATTGGGCTAGAGATATGGCCCATTGGTTAAGAGCTTAAGAGCACTAGCTGTTCTTGCAGAGGACCTGGGTTTGGTTCCCAGCAACTATCTGTAACCCCAGTTCCAGGGGAACCCGAAGCCCTCTTCTGACTTCTATGGGCATTGCACAACACATAAATGTGTACTTACATATATTCAGGCAATACACACAGAAAAAATCTAATACATAAAATAGTCTAAAAAGGAAATTACATAAATGAAAAATTATACCTAAAAGTCCCCTAAAAAACATGGCAATGTAGTCCATGTAATAAAATATATCCAGTTCTAAACTGGGCATGGTGGTGTATACCTTTAATCCTAGTACTAGGGAGGGAGAGGCAGGTGGAGCTATATGAGATCAAGTCAGCCTAGTCTACATAGTGAGTTCCAGGTCAGCTGGGGCTATAGCCCTATAGGGAGATCCTGTTTCAGAAAGACCAAAAATAGCCAGGCATGGTGGTGCACACCTTTAATCCCAGCATTTGGGAGGCAGAGGCAGGCGGATCTCTGTGAGTTCAAGGCCAGCCTGGTCTACATAGTGAGTTCCAGGACAGCTGGGGCTACAGGGAGACCCTGTCTCAAAAAGACCAAAAATAAAATAACACACACACACACACACACACACACACACACACACACACACAC